AAAAAAACAAAGACCGGGGGACGGCAAACTTGAAGTAAAAAAAAAAAAAAAAAAAAAAAAAAAAAATCGCTTAGGCCCCCGAAAAGTATGTTATTCATTGTTAGCATCCGAATATGAAATTAGTGGATGTTGTGGTACGATTTGTCGATAATTCCGTGATCAATTCAGTCAATTGGATTTTGTTTCATAATTCACTATCAGTAATTTATGGTTGTGAAAGATCGTTTCGAAAGAGGGAACTTAAGTTAAGATAACACGGACGTTATACCAGCCGCGTAGAGAAATCGTTGGTTAGTTGATATTTACCCTATTAAAAAGTATGGCAGACACAACAGGAGGGCATTATTTGAAGTAGTAAGTTTGGAGCAAAGGTAAACGATTTTGCCAAAACCGAATGGCACCTGCCCACTGTGTCCGCTATTGCTCTAAAAGGCTAATGACAGCTCGCTAACCACAACATGCATGACTAATGGCAAGTTCATACTTCAGGCGCATTCGAAAGTGAAGCAAATTTGACGTCACGACAACTTTTTTGGCGAAATATGGCTCGAGTTGAAATGTGTTCAACTGTTTAAAATTCGCAACGCTTACATCTGATTCGCGCGAAGTATGAACCGGCCTTTATGCGTGACTGGGACCGCCGTGGCCACGGTGATTGCATATAATTTCTACGGGCAACTCCAACCACGTACTGGCGCACATGCGAACGCTGCATTCTTGACTGGTTTATCTTGAATAAGTAGATTACCATCGGATGGAATTTCAGGCTATTCATGGTGAAAGACATATTCATGAGAGAATTCGATCGGACCTCCATCGTCACCGCAGACCATCGTCCCATAATCTGGCTCCGGTATGTGGATGACACATTTGTCATCTGGCAGCACCTGCAAGACAACCCCTGACACTTCTTGGATCACCCCAACGGGCTTCACAGCAGCATCCAGTTCACCATTGAACAAGAAAGAAATGACAGCATTTCCTTTCTTGATGTTGAGGTGTCCAGATGTCAAGATCGCCTCCTCACCTGCAAGGTGTACCCCAAAATCAAGTCGCCTGTCAACTGAGCCCTTTTTCGCAGGGCTTACAACATCTGCGACAAGGAACACCTCACCAAAGAACTGTACTACATCACCACGGCACCTCAACACAACATCTCCAGCAGATCAAGACCCAAGACCCCCTCCCGACCGAAGGATCTCCCATACCCAAAGCCAATTAAATAAGGTCCTTAGTTCTGTTACTCTCCCCTACCTAGGTTGTGCTACCCACCAGCGTATATATCCAGCGTATCCTGAGCAGGCATGACATCAAGGTATTCCACACAGCCCCCTTCAAGATCCACGGCATACTAATCCCACAAAAACAGGCGAACCAGGGGTGCACAAGATCACCTGCCAATGCTGCAAAGTGTACATTGGCGAGACTGGTGGGGACCTCCTCACCAGACTCAAAGAAAACCAAGCCCATTACAGAAAAGGAGAGTATGAGAAGTCAGCGATAGTCAAGCATTCCCACTATGAAGGCCACCGCATCAACTGGGACGAAGCCCACCTCATCACCACCTTTGAGCACTGGAACCCAAGACGCACCCGAGAAGCCTTGGAGGTTCTTAAGCACTACACTGTTCCTTCTCCATTTTCTTAGTCAGTGACATCTGGCAACCCCTGCTCACTTTCCGATCCACGGACCCTGGGTCTCTTATAGCCCCGGCTACCTCACCCAACCCCAACCACTGCCCAACCGACACGCCTCACTGATCTGCTGGACCCGTCCCGAATACGTGCCAAACTGAATCCACCACTAGCATCCTCGTCACACCCCACTGCGTCCAGTCACTTTATGTAAACAGCTCCATCATCAGCATCTCTTCAGTCTCCCGGCGGTGGACTGAGCATGCAGTTCGGAACGGCAAGCATACTCCTAGTTCTTTTCAGAACCACACATACTCAAAAGGGATATATTCCTTTGCATGGTGCTACTGCAAACCTTTCCACTTACAGATTGCCATCGCAACACTAAGCCCTCATTACTATCACAAAGCCTCGAGGTCCAGCACGGTTATGACATCACAGGAAAAAGGTCCACAAAATATTTGTATTCTCGGATTCTTTAAGTAAATAGTTATTTCCTTTGTGTATTTTCAAACTTAAATATTGGAAGCAGCCATTGTTTTCCGTGTGCTTTCATTTGCTGTTTGTTAAGTGAATGATCCCGTGGCCTGGCCTACTCTGCCCCTTACAATACCACTAGTTGATACAAACACGTTGTTATAAAACATTATAAATCTGTAACGTTGTAGGCATGTAACGTAAAAAATACTATAATGAAAAACAACGACACTGCAGTAATTAGGCAACAGACAATGGAATCTTTAGTCGATGTAACATTGTTACTAAGTTATGTGTATGCTGGCATATTGAAACAACTTTCATCCAATATTGGGATAGAACGTTCGCACAGTCTTGTGATATAACGTCAAAGCGTTGCATAGTTCAAACGTTGAGTGCTTGTGAAACTAAGTAGGTAGCATGACGGAAATACAACCTTTAGACAAGGTTGTGGTAAAATGTGATAAAACGTTTGTGCGGTGTTAAGATTGAACACTGTTTCAATGTTGTGTTAAGGGTAGGTGTCAAAGCTAGAGCACGTTCAGGCAGCGTTATAATAAAATGTACATTCAGCGTTATGACACAGTGTCAGCGTGTGACGTTGTTGCAACGTTGAAGTCACGTTACTGTGCAATGCGGCAAAAATAGAACTTTCAGGCAACCGTTGCACTAACGTCGTGTGCTTGCTAGGTTATTATTCAGTTAATATCCAGAACATCTCGCTCTGCGTAGGTAGACGAAATAGTCCTCAAAAAGTCAAACATCATACGAAGGTGTTTTCCCCCTCGACCTCAAATTTGTGGTCTTTTGAGTTTTGTTAGAGGGAAAAGCTGTGGAAAATAATGCCGTTTTCGAGCTTTTCTTTAAACTCTTAATTTCTGTTTGGTTATACATATTGAAACGTTTTGTCTTTTTTTTCAGGGACTTGTCTTCAAATTTGCTCAAAACTATTCCACGTGGTCTGCGGTATTTGAGAAGACTGCGTAATTTGTACATCCTTAGTAATAGCTTGTCGGTGCTCTCGATGGAGATGTTCGACGGGATGCAATCTTTGGAAGAATTGTAAGACACGTTAAGATTCACAACCCTTAAAATAATTATTGCTTTTTTGGTTTAACCAGTTAAAATAACCTCAAACACAGTACACACCAATATTCTCTGCCCCTAGTACACCTGGATCCCCGACATACACGCCGCCTCGTCACCTACAACAACCCAATCATGAACCCTGCATCCTAACAATTTTGCCTGAGGTTGTTGCAAGTAAAACGTTGTCATTGATGTTTTGACCATCATGTCCAATATACATATTGCTCTCTAACAATCTTACCACAAAGTCTTGTCAGTGTTGCCATTTCAAATTTGCACAGGTATCCCGGCCAAGCAAATCATTTCGTTACCCCATATCCCTATCATGAACCCACCATATCAACCACTTCCATGAAAGCTGTAATAAACACAACAGAGCGTCAATCAGGTGTCAATTCTATCTGTTTGTTCTACAGGATCATCTCGGGCAATCCAATCACCAAACTGGATGACAGGGTTTTCTCTGACACTCAGCTTGTCAACCTGTAGGTATCTTGATACTACCACTGAAGGAAAACAAATTGACGTTACTGAAAGTAGTAAATGTGTTATACATTACAGCCTACACGCCGTCCACAACGCTGGGATTTTCTGCGCGCTGTTTCTGCTTTGAAACTCTGAAAGTGTTATGTTTCCTGTAAAAAAAAATTACAAACTCAATAAATAACGACATTAACCCTGATCGAAGATGGACTTTCAGCAAATGTTGCCTCGTAGTTAACTGTTGTGTTTAAAACGATTTTTAGTACAGAATGTTAGTTCCAGTAGCCACCACGGTAACATACTCTGTAGAATCTTCATCTTCCAAAAAGTTCCAAAGCTTGCTGACATTGTATATCGATGTTATTTAAGGGGTGATTCAATTCAGGGTGTATGAAGCCTGTAAATTGACCCTTTAAGGCAAGTCCAAACCCTTGGTCCATTCATTCGATTCTTTAAAAACTAAATATGAAAAGGAATTTGTAAAATGTGTATAGAGATATGCATATATGGACATTGACTCATTTTCCAAAGTGAAAAAGAAATCCGGTACCACAGGGCCTCTCTCTTCCAAAAATATTAAAAAAAAATCTACCAGTGTCGCTTAGTGTACTCGTGCAACGACGAAATGTCCCAAAACCATTTAATGGTGGTATTTACATTAAACACAGGAGTTAAAACAGGAAACAAGGTGAAGTTAGTAGAACGAGTAGAATTTAGTACAATTTTTTAAAGAAATATACCTCAAGAAATAATCATCTGCATTCACGACAACTTCATAAGTCTAATAACATCTTAGTGACAAGACCTGAATCAAGCCTAGCAATGGAGGCCTCTTTGGTGGGAACTGCACTTCTCTGGTTCACAAACGACCACACATTACGGTATATCAATACTAAGAAAGCGAACTCTCCCCACGAACATGGCTTTTTCAACCGATGAGGGGAGGTTTCTGCTCAAGGCGGACAGGGAGGAAAATCTTTTCATTCTGGTTCTCACATACGTTTTGTAGACCATCGTGTCCAACGATTTAAGTTGCTGTGCAGTCTTGTCGGTGGGTCTAGGTATGACTGACTAACCCAATCCTTGAGTCGCAAACTCAGCGCTACCAGGGAAACTGAAATGTTGCCATATCGGAAAGGGTTTTGTTGGTCCTTCTTGCGTTGTATGGCCGTGTAATGCGGCTATTTTAGCTGTCGTCTAAATCCACGCAGGCTTTAGATGTTAGAGAATGCCATTTTGTTCGGTCATGAGAGCACTACTCCAGTTGTTTCGCTTGAATACTACTGCCATTCTTGAACCTGTCTTTGATGCGTTCCTTTAGGCAATCCCTGTTTCTACGTTCCCCTTGCAAGTACACCATAGACTAGTTACTGAAGCATGCAAGTACTTTCTATGCATGCGAGCTATGAGGCCAGTCCAATTAAGCTTGGCCATGAGAAAGCATGACCTTGATACTACACACTTGTGCTCAAACGTATATGAATACGTTTGGAAAATAATACCCTTTGGAAAATAACACACTTTTCTAAATTCTTCATTTCTAAAATCCATTTTGTTGGCACTTCCATCTTTCGTCTGTTTGTTGCAATTCACAAATCCTTAAGAGTATTGGCTCAACTTCATTTGCATAATAATAGGTATGGCTCGGGTTTCGTTTTTGCTCCTGTTCAAAAATATTCATACCCCAGGTTTACATAGTCCATTGTCCTTTCTTATTAGTCACTATTACAGCCTTTGTTCTTGATGACTAACTCAAGACGGTTCCTATAAGTGTCCACGAGCTTTCTGCATGTCTCCTGTGAGATGTTGGTCCACTTTTCCTTGGCGAAAGCCTCCAGCTGGGTCAGGTTGGATAGTCTTGTGGCCATTACTCCGGTCTCTGGCTCCCTATACAGAATTTATATTTGATTTACATATAGGTAGGATTGCCCTATACAGAACGTCTAGACTAAACGCCCTGTCTTACCACGTAATGCTCATAGGTGAACGCAGAAACCTGATGTTGAAGTGCTCAAGAAATCTGATGCGTTTCCTGAAGAAGAATCGCGAGAAAGACAACCTCGTACCCCTGGTATTGGTCTGAACTGAAGCGACGCGTGTGCGTCGGTTCGGGGTTTTGAGGGCCCAGAGCCCACGTTGGTTGAGGTGCTATCCTCTGGTAAGGAAGACCAGTCTCAGAAACGGACATAAGCTTTGTTTTGTGGATACGATCTCTTTAATTCGTCGAGAAAAATCCTAGCGCAGACAAATCCCAGCGAAGAAAAACCCAGGCACCTTGTCTTCAAAAGACTAGTGGAAGGTTACATGTACATGTGCTACCTAGCACTCTTTGAATACAAGGATGAGCCAACGCACGGCGGAAAACCTTCCACCGGACAAGGCTAAATCCAACAAAATAGGCAGAGCTTTGGCTGACTGGCGCTTGGACGCCCATGTCTTCCGACAGAGCGAGAAGGCGGAGCGTCTAAAGACGCTAATTGATATTTATGACCCCTACAGGTCGATAACTTGATGTTATTATTGTTTAACACCTGAGACTTAAGAAGGACCAACGTGTGGCTGACCTTGCAGATTCCTGCAGCTGTGTCCTTGTCAGTGGAGCGATCTAAATAGAAAATTCTTCCCAGGTAGTTAATTTGGTTGACTGTTTTCTGCAATGTGGCTTAAGTGCTTGTGGATTTCTGAAGCAGGTTTGTGTAGGACCTCTGTTTTGCTGAGACTGATTGTAAGTCCAAAGAGCAGGGAGGCTTAAATGAGTTTGTCAAAAATAGCCAGGTTGTTATCATCAGCAAACAACGCTTCAATGAAGAGTTACCGGAGTGTTTGGGCTCTATGATTCGGCTTTGGACGGTGGAAAAGAAGCTGCCCAGTCGGTACTACGAGTAAACGCCTTGCGCGAGGGGGGGGCATTATTCATGACACAGGTAAAGACGAGGTTGAACATAGCTGGTGCCAACATAGAACCTTATTGTATGCCATTGGATATGTTGAAGGATAATACCCGCCGTGCCATCATGGAAGAAGTGTTTTTTTGCATAATTGTTCGGGACAGCATAGCTTTGACAGTGCTTTCCTACAGGTCAACGAAGACAGCATGACAGTGAATGGGTTTTCAATGCATTTTTCATAGACTTGTCTCACTGAGAAAATTATACCAACAGTACCCACCTCGTCTAAAGCCGCACTGAGTTTCTGGCAATATTTGCTCCTATTATAGAATTGATATGACAGCTGAGGATAACTAGTGCAAGAGTTTTCGTAGTAACAATTAATGGAGAAAGTTGCTTCTGTAGTTGCCACTGTCTACTTGCTACCTTTGATTTTGTCGAGGTAGACAGTTAACGTGTCAGTAAAATCATGTTGCACAGGCACATTTTCCAAAATGCCAGGTAAGATGTCATGGAATGCATCAAAAGTCACCTGGCATGCTGCTTTGAAGAGCTCAGTGGTGAAAGCATCCATGTGGGATACTTTTCCAGAACTGGCACGATTGGTTGCTCTCTTCACCTCATCCACGACAGGTTGGATGTCAAAGACATCCTATATTTGTTTCTGGGGATATGGCTACAGGGCTGCTGAGTCAACGGTGGACGATATATTGAGAAGGATGGAGAACTGCTCCTTCAAAGAATGCTACCTTCGTCTTTGAATAGGGGAGTAATATCATTAGCGGGGAGTGAAGTGGTGCTGGGCTTTTTGTAGGCAATGCTGAACACCCATTAATGTCTTGCATAATTGAAAGCTCTATTTGTGCGCGTTTCACCTCCAGAACCTGTCTTGGGGAGGTGGCTTTCTAGACCCAATGATTGTATTAGTTGACTTGGTCGCCATTTCCTTTAGTTTGTCCCAGTTAACAGTTGGGTCTACAGTAAGTGGTCGCCAGCAACCAAGGCATCATCAAGGTGAGACTGGAACTTCAATCGGATATCCAGGCGAAGTAGTTTGGCCATGTCGAATATTGTTAAGTTTTGCGGTGCACTGGGACTATAAGGAGGCCGAGCACCCAATCTGATCAAGCAAAGATCTGTCCAACAACGACGCAGTCCAAGGGATGCCATTGCCTCCATGTGAGACAAATCCAAGTGGTCCTGCGTTTTCTCCGTTGTGAGGGGTGTGTTGGTGATAGCAACTCCATTCCCAGCATAAACAGACAGTAGAAACAGCCATTACTCTTTAATTTCCCCAAATAGTGAGGCCCACATTATATTAAAGCTCGTCTGGTCTTTCCCACTCTAGTGCTAAAATTAACAAGAACTATCAGCCTTTTATCCGTAGGATTAAACTTCCAAGGAAGGCAATATTCTTGCTAAACACCTCCCTGTCTTCAATGTAACTATTCAGGGTGGCAGCATAGGCGCTAAAAATGGTAATGTGACAAAATGACGCACTGAGAAAACGGAATTTCATTAGCTACTCATTTCCATCAGTGGGAAAGTCGGGAAGCTGTTTGAGAGGTTGGTCTAGATGACATATCCAACGCTATTTATCCTATCCCCTGCTTCTGCTTTGCCCTTCAATAAGAAATTGTGACCACCCTCGGGTTCACATATTGATCCTTCATCGGAGAGCTGTGTTGCGCTTAAAAAAGCGATGTTGGCGAAATCCCTGGCTTGGTATCTGGCAAGGAGGGTTATTTGCCTCTCCCCCTTTGCTGTGTTTTCCCAATTTAAGAGCACGCATACATTGCTTGTATGTAAGAGGAGTTAACTTCGCTTGACTGGGAAGCTTATTAGGTGCGAACTGCGGTCTGCAGTCTGCACACTAGTTGCTTCCAGGTGCAGGCAATTATGGGATATTTCTTTCTAGTCCCCTCCGTTACCAGACTGAGCAGCGCTGGCCCTGAAGAGGGACGCTCAGTCGCTTATACTTATCATGCCGCTATCCGCCTACGTACTGGTTTAAAACCATGAGTGCCAGTTGTAACCTCTGCCTCTCCCTTTCAGAGTGAGCGAAGGTATACACGACTCCTGTTTGTAATGGACATTTTATGTGGAGAAACTGTGCACGGAAGCAACATCGGCCTCTCTTGGCCGTGAAAGTTGAGGTCCAGTGGCATGACAAGTTGTTACGACTCTGGCCTCCGTTGATTGCATTGGATGACGAGCATTCTTTGTGTCTCCGCCCCTTTGCGCTCCACAGCGCTGTTGGGACTACCCAATTGGCGGTTGGACCTTAATTAGGTCTCTTCCACCAGGTCCTTGAGAGTCAGCGTTCACATGCTGGAATAAATATTTATCCTGGTTGTCCAGACCCGATACATTGATAACATCGCATCCTAAAAGTACCAGGGTCTGTCCACACCCCTGTTGGCCTGTATACAACATTTTTGAGGGCCAAGCGCTACTTTCAGCCTGGGGTTGCAAGATGCCCGGTTACCGCGTGTTGCCACGACTCCTCATAGGATCGAGTCTTTATAGTTTGGAGGCTATGTACTGACAGGGAAGATTTCCACACAAGTCTCCCCTCTTCACTCCTGGCGGGATGTGCAATACATGTATTAGCCACGCCTACCCTATTGCACTAGACGCATCACACCCTACGACAAAGCAACCAACACACTTGGAAAAACGAATATAAAGTCCAAATTTGTGTTTCTGGGGGTGGCTTCAATTACATACCATTCTTTTCAAATAAATACATAGAACAGGCTGCCCCAAATGCTGGCCGCGCTAGGATCCCTGAAGCTCGGTGCATGACATTTTAGATTCGGGCTCGATAAGGTTAAGATTGATTTTTACCTTTGAAAGATTTTTAAACCAATAAGAGACTAATTACAGACGAAAGTTGACTATTCACTGTTTTTCCTGTTTTCAGGTACATTTACAACACCCACCTGAGGTCAATTGACGGCAGGCCCTTTGTAACAAGAAACAATTCCATAATATTTGTGTAAGTATCAAAGTAGGAGATTTACACACTATCATAAAAACTGAACTATCACGGTGAAATCAATCTAAAATAGGTGGATTCAATAAGAAGTGTTATTATGTGGAAGCATTTTGCGTGGTATTTGTTGGGTTTCAGTGGGAAATCACAAGAGTTATTTGCACTAAGCGTACTGTGGGATACGTACGCGTGGTACGTTGCTGAAGCTGACACATAATGCCGGCAGTTTGCGAGGTGATATGTAGGAGTATAATAGCGATACAACATTTGCATTGCTGTACCTTAGGGTGTGGTGAATTTAAAAAAAAATAGTTCTGAATGGGGTAGAATGCTTGCCCAACCTAAAAATGGACTGAAAATGTCCTTACAAAGTGCTGAGTCGTGATGTATTTGCACTTCATTGCCTGACTTGTTACATGGTATATTTGTCTTTTCTTCTTTTTTTTTTAGTATTAAAACAGTCATATAAACAATTTATATCATTTATTTAGCACCCAATCCGACAACCCACTGCTACTTATAAGCGAGGTCTGTGCAGCGAAATACCCTGCCAGAGCTGTAACTGCTTGCAAATTTTCGTGACGCTGACCAGCCTCACTTATAAGTTTGCCTACTGTCTTGCATCATAAGATAATATATATGCATTCCAGTTCTTGCAAGCTATTTTGATGCACAAGCATCACTTATAAGTAGCGGTGGGTAGTTGGATCGGTTGAATTTAGTTAGATGTAAAACTTATTTAGTTTTTGGCATATAGGCCTGATTTCCTAGTGACTGGTTTTTAAAAATGTGGTATTTTGGTTGGTTCTGTTGAGTCCACATGTTCCTTTTAAATATGTTAAACATTACCATATACCTTCTGTTGATAAGCAAGCCCAGAGTCCAGCTAAGGTGGATTTGATACCTGAGATATTTTCTGGTCAGTAGCCTCCATTTATTATAGCCATTTAGCAGTACATTCAAGGCCGCACAACAACATGACATCTACAAGTACATGCAATATACACATGTATTCTGTGTAAACTGAACAGACTGTGCCGTTATTACACTAGTTGCACAGCTCATTATGGCCTTACCTTTAGAGAGAACCTGGTCTGCTACAAGCCATGATGTCTTGGGGATGTCCTTCAGAGTTTGAGGGAAATGTTCTTCCCAACAGATTGGACTCCTGCTGTAGAGTGACTGAGCTTGGGTGAAGTGAAACGTCCCCCAGAGGTCAACTTTTGTAATGAGTGAAATTTATACTGAGGTGGCAACTGAAGTTGTGACGACTTGGCAGTACGCTTCTCTGAAAACATCCAATTCTGATGCAGTTGCGAAGAACATTAGAAAGTGGTACGAACTGGGATTGAAAATCAGCCATATGTCTGGTGAGCCCAATCTTCAAAATCTTTGGGATATCTGTATGGCTTTCAATTTCTCCAGACAACTGTGTCACAATCCTTTACAAAGATGGCTGCAAAGCATACTGCAGTTTTACCCATTTAAACTGTGATTGTCGTGAAAATAAGGTTCCAGAAAGAGAAGTTCGGTATTTGTTGCCACAGAGGAAAAATCGTATTCCTCAAACCTGCGCTCATGGTATCTCCAGCAGTTGAAAAGAACCATCGAAGCAAACAAAGAGGGAAGAAGAGAACAATCTCAAGACTGCAAAAATGGCTCACAAACTACCACTGAAGGAACTGAGAGTATGCCACTTATTTCATATCAAACGGGCTTTTCACCCACACCAGGGAGTGAGATGGTTGAGCCTGAGAGCAGTGATATTGAATTTGAGCCCCATCGTCATCTAAAAACACAACAAACAAACACAACTCCTCTGCTTAAGTTTGTGACCGATATGGACTCATTATTAGAGCTGTAGAAGCTGCTGCAACCGCAACACTTATTAATTTCCACTTTGTATCAAAAGATGACAATACAACAATAATTAATCACCACAAAACTGGCAACAGAAAAGAAATGTTTTCGAGGGCAAATACAGAAGGAAGAAAAGGCCAATTGGAGGGAGAACGTCAGTAGCATATACTTTGACGGAAAAAGAGATGCAACGCTTTACCCATCAAGTTTGGTGACAAAGTCTACCCAAGTTCAGTTATAGAAGACCATTATGTGGTTATTGCAGAGCCTAATGGACATTTCTTGCAGCATTATACCCCAAAGTCAGGACATGGAATGCAATATTGCCAAGAGAATTTTCTAATTTCTTCTTTCAAATATTTACAGGACAAAATAATGGTTGCTGAAGGAGATGACTGTAATGTCAATGTTGGATGGAAGTCAGGTGCTGTCTATCAGCTTGAAATGTTCCTAGGTAGACCATAACAGATATGCATGTTGCATGGCAGTGGACTACCATTCAGGGTCCTCTTTACTTTCTATGATGGTCGTACTACAGTACAGAAGACTTTCAGTGGAAAATTAGGGAAAAAAACATCGGCGGAAGAGCTGTGCAAATAGGAGGTTGAAACGTGTAGAGAAATACCAGCTCCATACTTTCCTTTTCTTCCAGATGAAATAGTGGAAGACGTTAGTTGGGATCAACATATTCTGTATAGGATGTGTCAGGCATTCATCTCTGGGAACATGGAAGATGGCCTTTCACTCTTGGGGCCAGGCCCTTTGTCCCATTCACCATGACTGACCTTAGCTCGGAGAATTTATGCCTTTATGTGCGAAACGAGCATCTCAACACTTTCTACGATGACTTGCTTTCATTGTGGTCAAGTTCCAAGCCCCAAGCTGGCTCACGATCGAACATCATTTACTTTGTACTGATGGGCTCAAGAACACGAACGCAATGCTTTCTATACTCATCCAGAGAACCTGCTGCTGTCTCTTTTGTCTGACAAGGAACCTGAGATTCGAGACAAGAGATAGCCATACTCCACGTCCTGGAAACTCGTTATGAAGTAGGGTCCTAGTTAACAAGTAGCACAACACGGGCCAGATGCAAGGAGAGGAGACCCTTGATGACATGGATATTGAGAGATACAGTGATGATGAAACAAGTGGAGATGTGATAGGGAATAATGAATTTTCACAAGATACATGTATTCGGTCCTTCAGAGTACCCATACTACGATTCCATGCAACCTTTTATGATCAAAGGATTGACTGGGACAAGGAAGCACTGACCGAACCACCATTGATAACAAACAAATCAAACGAAGAAGTTCAGCAAATAAAGTTCCAACCCCTTGTAATGCCATGATATCCCTGTCACACGCAGTCAGTAGAGCGGGCAGTCAAAGTTGTATCAGAGACCAGTCAGGCGGTGTGTGGAACGGATCAACGGGATGGATTCATCAGATAAAGACTCTCTTGAAGATTGCGAATGAAATTTTTAATCAAAACAGGACCTTGAGGCAGACTTGTGAAGGGAGTGTAATGCAGTGGCATCTGCTCCCATTGATATAAACTTTGCTGTTCTCTTTGCGGATGGAAGCATATGTTCTGTGTGTCCGGGCAGCCAGGAAATAATTAATGTTTCATTGGTTGTTGTTAGTGGTGAAACTGGTTTAAAGTATTTTTTTAATTACTTAATTAATTAATTCAAAATACATATGAAACCAGTGAAAACTAAAAAAAAATATATAAAATAAAGTTGAGTTAAAAATCTAGAGAAAACAATACGAGTTGGTTTACCATTATTCAGCACTTTTTAAGAGACATATCAATCCATTTATTTTAGGTTGGGCAAAGTGTTTTTTTAATTTTTGTTCGATATTGTAGGTTTTAATAAATATTGCAAAAACATCATACCATCCTATTCAGAACTAAAAATTAAACCATTTTTTTTGAAAGCCATTACACTTTACTGTACAATATACACTAATTGAAAAGTTACCCTACACGAGTATCGTTGAAGATCTCATGAAATGACAAAAACCTGCAATATCGACATTTTCCAATCTGGAGATTTGTTGCTATTTGGGTTCACTTGAGTCAAGAAATGGAATGGCAAAGTATTACAGTCAAATGTTTTTAATCATTTTAAACACATTTGACCAAAAAGAGTTGCTTTCTAGGATTTTTTGGTCTCGCCAAGTGACAAAAAACTTCCTCAGTACCCGGGCAAAAAGAGAGACCGAACAAAGCTCTGGTCCCGTCAAGTTGCCATGTGCATGCGTGCTAACAATATTGAACCTGAAAACCTGGGGGGTGTTGAATATAACAAAATGTAATATTTTTTCTTGCACGTATAATCTCATGAAGTGACACAAACTATGTGCAATGTAAATTTTGCAAAATAATATCGTAAGAACTCCAGGTTTCACAATCACAAATGTAAACAACGAATGTTGTTAATGACTTACTGTTTTAATTAAAACAACAAATCTACAGATTGGTGTGGATGAGCATTTTCAAAACTACCTTACTTTTCATGACCTTGCAAAAAGAAATCTCCAATTCGTAAAACAAAAAATGGTCGAAAATGTACGACAAAAAGGGTCATTTTGTGAAACACGTTTTTTTTTGGTTGTCTGTTTTCCTCTATAGGGAGGCTTTGTCACTTCGTGCGATCATCAACGATATTGCTAAATAGATTGTATATTTTAGCTCTTCTCTAATAGGTAACATGCTTTTAGTACACTAGAGGAAACAGCCTTTTGCCAAAGCTTTAGGGCAAACTGTGAAACACAAATGGATGTGTGTTTTAGCATTAAAGGTTGGAACGTACAAATTTTATGTCACGATTTTTTTGCACTTACCAAATAAAACAGCAACTTCTAGGCACATAGTGGAGGATTTATTCATAACTTGTGCTTATAACGTTTTACATTTGCTCTATCGGGAAAAAAAATGTTTCCCAAATTTGTTGTCGGCGTTTCACTCGTGAACATAACGTTTTAAAATAAAACATCCAATTTCCAACCCTTCAATTTATATTTCACGGTATATTTGCTTTGGGGGGGTTCTGTATTCAACAATCTGAACATAATTGGTGGAATATGCGCACAGAAGGCACCTGCATCCCTGGCCTTTTAGTCATGTGTCGCTAAGACTGTTTCTGCCTGGGGGAGTTCCAGAGATCAAAATTCTTATTGGGTAGCTTGTCTGATTTTTTTTAATAGGTGATTTCCTTCCCCTTTCACTTCTAATTGTTCATTTTGTTTGCGTTTATCCCTCATTCTTCTCGTGTTTTTATTTTTCAACTTCTTCCAAGGGTAAGAACAAGCTCCTTTTTCATCTCCCCTCGCGACGCTTTTGTTTTAGGTAACTCTGCAAGGGTTCTTATTACGAAGGAACCAGGGGTTGTGAATTAAAATCGTCGTTACCACAGATGCTGCCAGGCGTGATCTTCAAAAGGGTAGGCTCTGGAGATCAGCTACAGTAATGCACTTTTGAGCCCATAACGAGTAATTGTTTATTCATTATTTCAGGGCAATGTATGGAAACAGCATCGAAAGCATCTCGGATTCTGTTTGGCAAGATATGGGAATGAATTGCAGAGTGTGAGTATGATATCCAATAAGCCTTTTGCGAATTAAATTTGAATAAAATCTGGTAAACTGGGTTCTTTGAATTCACATGAACATGAGTTGAATTCTTCACACTTAAGTCACTGTTGCTATATCTCGTGATTCGGGGCAAGCTATTCTTAGTCATAATCAGAGACACCTTGCACTAATACACTGTTTTTAAATTAATGGATATTTAGGGCATAAATTAACATTCCTGAGATGGTGGTCACTATGCAAAAGCTTGCCCCAGATGACAAGGAAAAGCCTTTAAATGACAAACAAATCGTGCAGGCCCTACATTTCACTCATCTAAGTTAAAGAACAACGAATAAGGTAAATTATTAACAGAAGGGGGCACAGTTCCGTAAAGGTTGAGCAATTAGCTGATTAAAAAACTGTCTCTTTAATGGTAAGAGTTTCTGTTTAAGAAGCACAAACTACATGGCAGTAGTGTCTGAGCTTGAAATCAGTTTTCCAACCAACCAACCAACCAACCAACCAACAAAAACTGAATCTTTTGGCTATCTGATTTTCTGCCAGGGCTGAAATATTGTTGGCGTGGCCGAAAATGTCATAGATGTATGTTATAGCCGGAATAATGACCCATGATTCGTTGTCTTTCGATCACAGACCATTTACACACGAAATGTGGACCTAATATGAACCGATTGTGATCGAAAGAAGGGTTTCAGTTTTGCTGTGAAAACACGTGTGAAAACATGGGAACATATTATAAATTCACCTTAAATCAGGTGATGACGTCATTATGACGCCATGTTTCGGTAGACACCTTTGCTATAAATTACTTGAGTAACCTTTTAAAGTCAAATGACTCTGTTAATTCCCAAGGAGGTTTCGAGAAAGAGGACTGGAAGTTTCAGTCACTCTGTGTGGCTCTTGAAAAAAACGAGTGCAAAACATAGGGGAAAATAAACATCATGACGTCGTGTTTCGCAAAAGACCTCTGCTATAAATAACTTAAGAATGTAAAGTTTCAATTTCATATTACTTTGCTTAATGCTCAAAGCGGTGAAGCTAGTCCGTCAGAGAAAGATGAGTAAGAACAACGCGTGTCACATGGTCAAACGGAATCTCAAAAAACGTTGCAAACAATCCGTAAGTGACCGAGGTCGTACGTGTTTTTTCACTAGAACGGCTTGTAGTGCAGATTATCCGTGTGTCGATCAAGGGTCACAAAATTCTGGTGAAGTTGATTTGATGAGAGGCAAAAATATATGGTTGTACTTAATGTCTGGTCAAATATTACCCGTGAAGAATCTCCTTCCTTTGAACCACCATTTAACCCCTTGTCAAGCAAGAATGAAAACTTCACCAAGAAGTACGGTCTTCATGTTATGCTTGATCCCACAGATTCGTAGGCCCTACTTTACGAAGAGCTCCTCACACAAGATCCGACCTCGAAATGTAAGACGCATAACAGAGAAAAGAAATTCAGTGGCTTGCCATTCATTCTCTTCATAGAAATGGATTACACTGCAGCCAATGTTTGCTGACTTGACTTTATAGTTTTCATTGTTCTGAACAGTGCACGAAAACATTCTTACGTCTTAATACTCTTCGTTAATTTTCCTATCTATAGATATTTTCACATGCCCATCTATCATGTTTATTTCTTTAATTTTATTCTGCTTGCTTGCAACTTACTTAAAGTTTTTCATTCCACGACAGTGGCTTCGCTGGAAGTGGATTCGTCCAGTCAGTTACCGTTTCAAAAGCTACAAGCAAAGCCTTAGGATATTCTGGATTTAGCTGTTCAAAATTGACCCATTTCAAGAGGAATTGCACACCATGTCTCCAAGGTACCTACGGTGGCCCTTTTAGGACATGCAGGGCCTGTTCACCTGGTAAGGTTTTCGCGTCAACTAAAAGAGTTGCTACAGTGACACTAACAGACGCATTTTTAAGTAAAACTCTTTTTCTCTTGTGTGGGAGGGGCTTCAGAATAAGGATCAATTTTTTGTGAAAATTTTGGCGTACAAGAACTTCGAAACACCGAAACATTTATTCTCATTGATTCAACATTTATCTAATACTAAAATATGTTTAAACGTCTGAACTGCTACAATCTTTCATATCTTGCAGGAGGTTTTTTTCAAAATCGGACTGGACAATTCATAAAAACAGAAGTTGGCATGAACTGCCTTTCATGCAACAACGGCACTTACGTTACACCGGAGACTCACCCTGGAAGAAATATCGGCGATTGTGTGGTTTGTCCATCAGGCACGGATAAAAGTCGCCACGCTGGATTTCGCGCGTGCCCTTGTGTATCCAATTACTACCGCCGAGACCGGTTTGGTGAATGCTTCCCTTGCCCCTTGGAAGGCGTCAACTGCTCAGGAGAATACCAACACCTCCTTCCTGGATTCTGGTGGACTTGGGATTGGAATTCAACAGATAATTTCCAATCCTACAACAACTTTGTGAAGAATATTCTCATGGAGAACGACTACTACAACAGATTTACTCGCAAGTTCCACGGAGTTCTTCCTAAAGCTCACCCATGCCCGAGGAACAAATCGTGTCTAAATCTAGGTGTAGGAATAAATGCGACCTGCCAACATGGTTATGAAGATTTCTTGTGTTCTCAGTGCATAACAGGTTACTATTCTTGGCTTGGACAATGTTTTAAATGCCCGAGGTGGTGGGTGTTTCTTCTTGAAGTCCTTGCGTCAATTATTGTCATTATTGTAGTGGTCCTCGTTGTTGCGTGGGACCTTCGGAGGCATCGCCAAAGAGGCCGCTCCGTGGTCAGTGTGCTATTCTCACGATTTAAAATTTTGCTTGGCTTCTATCAGATCCTAGGCGAGATCTTCGACGCACTTCATGACCTTCCCTGGCCAAGGTCGCTTATAAAGTTTGGTTCATTCTGCAAAGTGTTGGAGGTGAACATCATGCAGCTGATCGTGAGTCCTCGCTGTTACTTCCCAAACTTCACCTACCCAACAATTTACTTAGAGTTTATAGCTGGTCTGAGCTTTTCAGTTCTCGTCATTATGTTGGCGTTGAGTGCTTACAACCTTAAACGATTTTATTTACACCTTAAGGAAACACCACGTGATGTTTGCAACGATGTGCTGACTAAAATGAAACAAAATTGCTACCTGGCCGTTGTAATTCTGCTCTTTATTACGTACCCAAGCCTGTCAAGTGCCATCCTGGCCCTTCTGCCATCTGGATGTGATGAATTCTACCTGGATGAAGCTGAAAAAGTCAAAGTTCTTCTTCTTCGATCAAACTACTCCATTGACTGTGAGACAGATCAACATTTAATGTATAACTACGCCGCCGAGGCCTCCTTGTGCTACATTGTTGGTTTTCCGTCAGTGTTGCTGATTACGCTGTGGATGAGTCGTCGGCGGAGAATGAAGAATGAGAGTGATCCTTCTTACATGTTAGGGTCAATAAATTACCTAGATCAAATGTCACTGTTCGTTGCAGATAACACGGCTGATCAGGATGCCGGGGCTCAAGTTAATGAGATCCCACCCGATGATTTTTCCGGTATGGGTTCTCCAGATGACACACACAGTTTGAATGATGCTGCAACAAGCAACAATCAACCCTTGCTCATTCCATCGATTACCTCTCCAGCTGGAAGCATTACTTGGGAAACATTCCTGTGTGAAAATTACAAAGAAAAGTTCTGGTATTGGGAAATCGTAGAGCTTGCGCGCAAAATCTTCCAAGTCCTCTTCGTTCTATTGTTCGGTGCCGAGGATCACTTCACCCTCTTCGCGACCATTGTTCTCTCTGTTGGCTTTCTCGTCATCCATGCCTATGTGAAACCAATGAAGCATGCTGCTGAACATCGCCTGCAGATGTGCTCCCTGGCAAGCATCTGTCTGAATCTGTTGACAGCTTCACTGTTGTTGTTGCCTAATGAGGGAGCTTTCACCAGCGAAACGAGGAAGGAGGTTTTAGCAGTATTTCTGGTTCTGCTCAATCTCACCCTCGTTGCTTTTGTGGCAGGTAGGTTGCAGGGTTTTTGTCAACAGACAGCATCTTACGTTATTGAAAGGACCGACTTTCAAACTAAGAGCTTGTTGCCCCTTCAAAAATTTAACACAGCGACAAACTGTATCCTCAACGGAAACATTTTAAAACCCCAATAAGGTTACACCCGACCAACTTTGAGCAACCATACTAAAAAAAAAAAAAAAAAAATGGACAGAAAATGTGCCTGCACAAGCGCACGGACACGGGTGAAGGCAGACCTGTTTTTAGAAAGCTCTTGGAAGTTCCTGGACAATCACTGAGTATAAAGTATTGATAAGTATGTACGTTGGGTAAGGGCAAAAAAACGGAAATTTAATGACATTTCCCTTACGCAGTGTACATCTTGAAAAAAATGCATTCACAACTTCTACCAAGAAGACGATATATGTCACAAAATTATGTCAAAGATGTATTGACATAACTCCATTAGTAGTCCACAAACACCTACATATGGCTTAGTGAGGTGTAAACTGCACTGTTTGGTGTCAAAGGCTCACCTTCAAATTGACAAAAACAACATCTTAGATACTTAGCTTCTTTATCTTTCTAAGGTCGTAGGTAAGGAAACAAACCCGATTTCTTTATTACTGGGAGACAACATACGAAACTGTGCATGTTTTACACGGCAGCCATTTTAAAGTAAAGTTAATCCCGAAGAGGAGCCGCAAACTATGAGATCATCGAATCTTTTACCTGTTGAATTTGCAAAAGGAATTCAATGCCATTTTTGGGCAGAAGCCGTAGGCATAATAGTCCCGGACGGAAGACCGATTAGCTTGTTTAAATTGAACTATGGGAGCGGACACCTTACCGACGCTTTATGTTGCAGCAAAGTCAGCAAGTTTGCACACCTTCAAACGCAATGGAAGCCGTCAAAACTGTTGTTTTAAGAAATCACAATTAATGATTTTTACCCCATTATAATATACACTTAGCGACGTTTATAGGGTACTTTTGTTATGAGGGCACTGGAGAAAGCCATATTACTTTTTAAAGATGTACTCTTTGCAATTGAAAATATTATGACTTTTAAAGTGTTTCTCGTGTCGTATTTACAGGGAGCGCGATTTGGACATTTTTAAAGATGATTTTTAAGACTGCGTGTTGCCGTCGTGCTGTCTTGTCCACCACTCACGTCTACCGCCTGCTCCGGCCACCCCAACAGTACTCCACACAGAGACGATGCCCCAGTCTTGATACCAACGGCGAGAGGCAAGCTTTGTTAAGCGATTGAATGGAAGCCCTGATCATTCGTGAACGAAAGGACGGCGTGATTGGCTTGGTGAACGGAGCGGAACTGGCAAACAGGTTTTGCTCCTGTGCCACTATTGTCAGAGAGTACTTTGGTTTAATCTCAGTAACTTTTAGTTGAATTTATATACATATGTATTTGTTTTGTTTTTGCTTGTTTTGTTGCTTTTTTGGGGGGAATGGGGTTCTCTTTAGTCTAGTTTGGAAAACTTCAAAAATTGTTGGATGTGTTTTTACGGTTATCCAATCTCTCACTTGCACGCTGTCACACACACAAACAAATTCTGTTGCATAGGTGATTACGAAATTTCTACCTTCAATCATCCCGCAAAAGACGTGTGTTTAGTAGTGTATGGGTTTTAACTGCAGTGTTATCTAATTGTGCAGTGCTTGTAACTATTATGTACACTTAGTAATAGTTATGTTATGTTTATGGTACCATGCACCGGGGGTTGCTACAGAGTCTGGGTTTGGTCACGTTTTGCACGCGCAGTTTAATTAGATTAACTAGCCTGCGTAAAGGGGTACCGATATTTTGCTGCAGTTTGCATTTTTTGAGCGGGTGGCAGATTCCTCTCGAAAGAACTCTGTGTCCTAGACCTGATATTTGATAAATATTTCAAGTATATAATAAAGGTTGCCACTGAGTCTCCAAAACATTTGCAAGTGATGATGTTTAACCTTTTATGGGCAGGTTCGCACTTGGCACTCCTGCCTTTAATCAAGTACAAGTTTTCACTTTGATGATATTAATCACATAGTAGAGGGCCACAAGTTGTGTTTAAGGTCATGTTAACATTGTATTGCTAAGATATAACACAAAGACATTAATATCGTTTAATACACACATTTAATGTAACCTTTAATGAAAAAAAAAGAAATGTGTGTTTTGCGGTTAAATTGTTATATGCAAAATACATTGACAGTCGAATGAGATGATTACTATAATCTATTAGGTTTAAGCTAAAGGTACGTGTATAGTTGAAGAGAACATACATGTGAATAGAGAACACCTCTGCACTGTTTATCGTCCAAGGGAAATCTAAAGACGAGGTTGAACTTGATGCTGTATATGATACAGATTAAGAGTTACTAGATGTGGTTGCTTGCCACCTTTTGAACAAAGAACGTTCGGATTCATTGCCGACTGTGTTGTGATTCAAAATGCTTTGTTTCATTTTGTATTTGAAGATTCGTATTATTGAGCTCGTTTACTGCTTGTTACCGTTAGTGTTTTTGGTGAGTTTTTCTTATACCATTTTTGTTGTCGGCCAAAAATTTACATGCTGTACATACAACAAAATTTGTGGTGGGAATTATATGCCTGCTGAGAAAATTTGCAGGAGTAAAGACTGAGCGGCAGGATTTTTGTCCTGTTAACCAGAGCCAAAGCTGGATCCAGAACAATATTTTCGGAGGCGGGATAAAATTGGGGGGGGGGTTCCAAACTGTGCAATTTAGTTTTACTCTCCTAGATTTTCTATCGAAGGAGGCAATATTTGGCGGCATCTCTTCTCGTTTAAAGCGAGAAACAGAAATGAAACAATCACTAAAAACCTTTTCTCTTCATGTTTCATGTTTAAAATTCTCCTTTTGGGGCCTAGCACCCTTGCTCCACCCTCATTTTTCTGAAGTTAGAGGTTGATGTTGTCACACGTTTTAGTCGCTTAGGCAAGTAAAGAAAGAAAGTCGGGACTGTGGAGACGATTAGACAGAGTGCCTAAACCCGCAGTTCAGATTGTGGTCACCAGCGCCTTATCCGGTACGATTTTGAAGAGAGAGTAAATGTAGACGCCTTTTATTCCACTACGAGTAGCCGAAATTAATGCTAGCTATTTGTTTAGAATGTAAATTCACAGGACTTACAAACAAATTTCCTTGACTGTTTCTGATGTATTGATTTAATGCAATATATACAGTACAACTGAATGCTGTGTTGACTCCCGTCACTTAATTCTTTGATGAACCTGCAAACACCTTAACATCGTATTTTGTTTACTAAACCTCCCCTTCTCCCCGAACTCAATTACCTGCATTTGAGTTTTTTTTAATAGAGCGATTTGAAACTTACTTTACGATCCTCTTGTTATACTGATCGCCACACCGGTCAATGAATTGGGACTAGGATCTTATTCATTTGTTATCATGCATAACGTAAACAACGACGGTCATGTTGGGAGTTAATCAGGGGTGGAGCATACTCGGCAAGCAAAACCTCTCATTGGCACGACACTGCGAGAGGACACGCGGCAGAACAAGGGGGCGTTCAGGTATTCTGCAAAATGAAAAAATAAAACAAAGCAAAAGAAAACACACACACACACAAAACGAACAAACAATCAGACCACACGACGGGCGACGACACAACGCGGCCCACGACGCAGCGCGTTTTGTGTATACACAAATTATGACAACGGAGATACGACAAAGGAAGGAAGCCGCCGTGCCGTCGCGTCGTACAGTTGCGTCGCCCATAGAACAGGCGAGGATGTGTGTCTGTCACCGCTTCTCTAAACTGAATTGTCGTCAATTTCAAGCAGTATACCATAAAACTAAATATTCAATCACCCATTTTCCATTATTTGACAAACCATTTAGTAGGTTAATTCTAACCCTTAGGTTGTGGTTTTCTGCTTATTGGCCGACATTGGCATCGCTTTTCAGAGGGTCTGTGAAGATGTGTGCTTTGCGCACGGATGATAGACGAGCAACCGCACCAAGGCAGTATATGAATCAACTGCCTAAGGCCTGCAGTATTATACGTATGTACGGGAAGCATCTAAAGCTGCTAGGCCTAGGGACTTCAATGGGCGCAAGTACTATTTCCAGCCGCAGTCACAACTTCTAGGCACGTATTCCGGCTGCTCGTATATTCCGAGGGGAAGCCAATGGAAAAGTAACGCTTCATGCAGCCTTTTTATCACCTTAGCACTACTCTGTCTGAAATTCTGCAAAGTTCTCCAAAGTTCCACTGTCGTGCTGCTTTCAGACGTTTCTACAGGTCAAGACTTTGGTAGATTGTAATGCAGAATATCTAATAGGTCAATATATTACCCTCACACGGTAAACCAAAACCAATCAGATGAAAACGGCCAGCATATTCCAATTAATAGGATGTTTCGTTATATCAAACCAACAAAGCCTTGGACATTCCTTTGGTAAACGAATAAAACTATAAAGAAATAAATAAATAGAGAGCCTACTGGTGAAATTATACATTCAAGTAGGGTAACAATTTGGGATTTTTTTAATGAAAGAATTCTTATATTTTGTTGTCTCTATAAAGATAATGAGGTTTGCCTTCTCTGCCAATACAATACAGGTTTTTCATTTGATCAGTAGTCTCTGTTGTGTTTAATTCATTCAAAAAAATAAGAAAAAAAAGATTGAAAGCTTTATCCTTTTCCAGAAATGTCCAGTCTGGAGAATTTGGTTCTGCTGATTGCCCTCCCTCCTTATGTTTGGGTAGAGCTAAAATTTCCGCCCCTGTTGTCTCTGCCATATACGAAAAGGCTAGGTGTACTCTTTGGTTTAACGAAATGTTGGCGAAACATGAGGCTAATGCTTACGAGGAATAAATAATTCACCAAGGTTACTTTTTAACACACGTCTTTAACTGGTCCACAATTAATCTTTAACCAAAAGGGGGGGGGTCGAGGCGTGCAGTTGGCAATTATTACCCGTGTCCTAATGAGTTCCTTCCACTGTTACTGCATTATAAATGATGGAGCTCATTCCATCTTCGTTACAGAAGAAACACATAATGCTATCACTGCAATAATTGGAGATACCTAACTGATGAAGCGGTCTGGAAACATAAGGTGAGGTAAAATGGTAAAAGACTGTCAGTTCTTGATTTTCTTCCTTTGCTTTCCTTCCATTAGTAAGTAATCAGTGCCATTGACTTAATAAGTCTAACTTCTTGAAACCAACTCACATCCTGACTTGCTTCATTTACATTGATCATTAATTGTTACAATTACAAGATTAACGCAGTGAGAACACGATTTTATCTTTTATAGTATTAAACTACATGTATACGTATTTGTTGCTTTTGAGCCTGTATCTTGCAAAAATAAGTCTAACTTCTTGAAACCAACTCACATCCTGACTTGCTTCATTTACATTGATCATTAATTGTTACAATTACAAGATTAACGCAGTGAGAACACGATTTTATCTTTTATAGTATTAAACTACATGTATACGTATTTGTTGCTTTTGAGCCTGTATCTTGCAAAAACTGTGGTATTATAACAACATTACCTCGAAATGGCAAAATTATGGATACTTGCAGGGTTCGAAATTTCAAACCGTATTTTTTAGCACACAAAGAGTATTGTCTTCCCGTTATTGTATTTCAAGAACACTTTTTTACTCATTTTGAAAGGATTATTAGTGCACATGGTCCTCCTGGATCTTTATTCAACAGAGCCAACTGAGCTCCAAAACCGTACGGTTCCCTCGATCGCTACGAGAAGCAAAACTTCCAGTATGCTTAAACTAGGAAAGGCTTGACTCAGAGTCTGGATGCAAGCCAAGGGTGCGCAGTGGCTTATATCTCTGCCAGCAAGCCCAATCTCAACGCGGCATCTTATGATTTCATCTTAATGGCTAAAGAGAGATTAGGAACCGTGACCTTCCACCTTAAATGTGAGCCTGTAAAACATTTCCCTCGTATACGGTTACTGTTCACGGTGTGTGCATGTACGTGTACGTGTACCAGCCCTGCTTTGTGGTATTATCACGTGCGCAATAATTGAACTCGCTGCTAGGCGACCGAAGGTTTGATATTAAGTATATTATGAAATAAATTATAGCCCATTTGTTGAATGATAATACGGTTGTTCTTTGAATTATGACTATACTTGCACGCGTTTGTAATTCAGGCGGAAAGCCCGGATAACGCCGGAAGCGGCTCCATCATCGCAACCGTGTACATCATGATCGAGGGACAGCAGGAAACCAACGACATCTTGTTGACGGTATCTGAGGGCGATGTCGCCTACCCATCCACGACCAAGGCACCAACCACGTTGGAGGTGGTCCCTATTACAACGCAGGCCGTCCCCACCAAGCCTGAATCAACCATTGGCTGCAACCTTGGGGCTGCAGCCACGACATAAGTATCCCTGTACGCCCTCTTTCGGGCTCGGCTGGCAAGAAGATGACTGTACTAAGGAAGCGTTCAATAGCTTACACGGGACAACCCTGACCTGGGGACGGCCGTGTACGTGCTGTGTGAAACGAAGTAAGCTTTGGGGACGAGGGTATATCCCAGTCTACTCTTGCAAGCCCACCAAGCACAACCTTTGAAAGTTTTTGGACTGGTGACACGTGGCTCAAGGCTTATTAAGAATCTTTTGTGCTGTTATTCCAACTTTGGGTTATTTGATTTCACCCATCACTTCAGTCAGATCATATGCAGAATTAATACATATTTGTTTTGAGCATACACATTTCTGGTAAAAACAACCAGACACAGACACACGGAATTGCAGTGCATGCATCCCGTCGTCATGCAGGAATCATTTCCTTTGAACATATTCGATAACCGCAGTCTGTTACGTCACAATTCGTTGACACTTCAAGCTAGGCATACTGAAGTGTCACAGCAAGAGTCGCTTGTGCTTGCTATGATCTGCTAGTGCAGTTTTATTAGATGGCTAATTTAATACCATAAGCTTTGCTGCCTCATTTATCCAGACGTTTAAAACCCTCCAAAGAGGCATCTAGGTCAATTTGTTTTACGCAATTCAGCACGTTGTGACCAAATTGCCTCAGAATTAGTTGTATTTCAACGATCCCATGATTCAACGTCTTTTTCTGTTTCTTTCAGAATAAATCAGACAGAGGCCTTCCTAGGCAGACCTCTCAGTATATTTTGAGAGGGATGTGTCCTTTTGGGGGGGGGGGGCGTGGTCTGGCTTGAGGCATCTACGTCAATTTTAGACACAATCCTGCGCTCTGTGATCAGGTTTTCACCGATTTAGTTGTAGTTAATTAAACGAGTCATATTCAATGTTTCTTTTTATGTTTCTTTCGAAATAAATCAGACGGAGGCCTTCCTAGTATGTTTTATGAACGAAGTGTCCTTTTTGGACCGTGGTCTGCAGTGGGGGGGGGGGCGGAATCCGACAAACTAAAAAGCAATATTAAAATACACGGGAAATTCCCACTTCACGTTCTTGAAACACCGTGACTCACTCATCCAAGGCCAACCCTTGCATTTGTGTTCGGGCTCGGTAAAATGACCGCTGGTTGGCTCCTTTTTTATACTGAGACGTTGCATGTCCAGGGTTTTTTTTTTTTTTTTTGGTTTTGTTTTGTTGTGTTTTTATATATATATATACGTCAGTGGTTTCAGTCACCGCCAGGGCAATCCGATGATTGACACCCCTCTCAAAAGGTAGGTGGCGGAAAAGTCAGGAGAAGTCACAGGAGTTCGATCAGGTGATGCGTGGCAGTTGGTAGAACAATCAGATCACATGATTTCTTAGGTTGTTTGGTCACGTGCTGTCTCGCCAGAGGGTCTTAAATACTTAAATTACTGATGTCCATATTTGTGACCAAATTCACAATTCGCTCTCTGGTCGTTAGTATGCTGTCAATATTCTCCACCAAATTTGCAACTCGCTCTCTGGTCGGAAATATTGCCACGATTTTTTTTACAGCAAGCTAGCCGGAAATGAAGAGTTCACACGTATGCGCACTTTTTTGGAATGACCTCAAGTCATTATTCGGCTTGGCAGATTTGACACAACGCAGGGGGCACAATGTTAAAAACCAATTGCTGTGTCTATAGCCGTGCAGCTTCTCTCTCCACCTGGCTTGCTGAGAAAAAAAAAATGAGGTAATATTTTTGCCCGGAGAAACGAGTTGTGCATTTGATCGCACATATTGACGTTAACATTGACGATTGGCGATGTCCCTCTAGGGCCACCATACTTTNGCCGTGTCCTAATGAGTTCCTTTCACTGTTACTGCATTATAAATGATGGAGCTCATTCCATCTTCGTTACAGAAGAAAGACATAATGCTATCACTGCAATGATTGGAGATACCTAACTGATGAAGCGGTTTGGAAACATAAGGTGAGGTAAAATGGTAAAAGACTGTCAGACTGTCAGTTCTTGATTATCTTCCTTTGCTTTCCTTCCAGTAGTAAAGTATTATTGGTATTGGTGATGACATTCAATGCACCTAAAATTAAAGACAAAGAAACCAAAACCGGTAATTATCTTATAAGATTAGCCGCACATATGAATCATTTCGGCACAAAAACAAATTTAACTGCTTTCATTTTAGATTCAAAATATTGTCAGTCTTGTTTCTTATTTTCTTCTGGTAATTGGTGAGCTTGAAAATCGTTCAGTAAGCACTTGAAGAACCCAACGTATCTAAAAAATTCAAGCCTGGTACATCACTTGGCCTGAGTCTTCAGGCTCTATTTTAGCATGATGCGTGATTGCTGAAGACAGGGTTCATTTTCGGAAAAACCACTCTTTATAACGCACCAACTCCACCCACGAGATGTTTTTGCGCTTTTGTATTGTGCTTAATTGACAGGTCCGAAGGTACCTGCTGAATATCGTGCAAAGAACAGGGATGGCTTTGCCATAGTTGTTTGTAGATTAACGGTTCTACTAACAGTTAAACCATTTATCTTGTGACTGAAGTTACCACACTTTTGCAATTTTTTTTTCAATTGAAATGTCAGAAGCCCACCATGGTATTATGGTACACTGCACTTTTTCTCCACGCTGTTGCTTTGATGGGGTTTAAACGTCTTGACACCGGGGCGATGTTAACTGGGCAGGCCCAACAGATAAAATCTCATACTTTCGACAAACTGGATACCGACGCGCCAAGAGGCAGAGTCATCGCGTCGTCGCTGCGTACATCTAAGATACGTTGTGCCTCCGATTGCGCGGCCACAGCCGGTTGTACACAATACTGCTTCGAGCTGACAACAGGTCGTTGCTTGGTGGAAAACGCTACTGTGGTCCTGTCATCCGAAAGTCTGAATAGCACTGGAACTTGCTACAAGAAGACCTCAGGTGGGTTCCTTAAATCCGAATTATCCAGACAATTTTGAAATAACAAACGATTCCATGCCCATAAATGGACAGGAAAGTAGACTTTGAGCAAAAGCGTGTTTTCAAGATCATTGAGGGGAACGTAGCACACGGACCCAGAGAGGTTGAGTTGTGCTCAGGCCACCAGCTCTGGTCCTGCACCAAAGTTATAAAAATAAAATACTGAACAAGAAGTAGGTTTAACGAAATAACGACATCCTGCAATGGGTTATTTTCTGTACATATTGATCTTTTATATGGATAGGCGACTGTTATGCGTTACCTATGTGCCCAACTAACATCTGGACAATTAACAAAAGCGACAGGCTTGCCCACTTGAAATTTTTTCAACGTGCCCTTGAAAGTTTTCTTTCATTCTTAGTGAAACACTCGTCTGAAATCAAAAGGCCTTACATGTGTTGCCATAAGGATAAAGGGGTCATGTTTACGCATGCGTAACCGAGAGTGTAAAGATAAACTTCCTGTCATAATATGATAAGGGATACGTTTACTTAACTATATGCTCTGGGATGTTTGGATGTTGCCACATGTGCAATCACAGTAAAAAAAAAAAGTAAATACCATGTCTTAGATGGTGATCATATGACGTTTTCCTGTCCATATGACTTCTCTCCTCTTCTGAAGCAGTAAAAGGAGAGATATCAGCATTTGGTTTCTATTTATGAGTAATGGCGAGATGTCATTCATGGCAGAACAGTAGTGACTCCATAGGCCAAAGTCTGGTTGTAAATTTATATCACACTTTTCTGCATTTGTGGGAGTAAGTTCCAATTTCACTTTTCGTTGGCTTTAACAGCAAATTCAGACAACAGAAATGACCGATCTTTTGAAACGTCTGTAGGTTATTTTAAAAGACAAATTGATAGATTCATTTTCTAATGCTCTTTTGACATGGAGTGCTTTGTGTGATAGAAGTAAATAACACCCTAACAAATATTGATGAAAATATTTTCTATGTACCATCTTCTTGCCAACTCCAGTGGAAAGAAGTAGTTAGATTTTGTTGGAATAGTTTTGTTAAAGGAAGCGAGTTGTGTTTAAAAAAGAAAATTACCAAATACAAATCAAAAACAAAGCAAAACAAAACAAAACAAACGACAAGGTTTTACATCCCTGTTCTATCTTTTTGTCTATAGCTTGTTGACAAAATGTTGTTATTGCAGAAGGTTTGTACCGGAAAAAGACGGTTGGGATGGTAACGATTCTATTGGCCAAGCCGTTGAAGAAATAACTGACCAAGTCAATGCACTTACTTTAAAAGACTTGTGACATGTAACCTCCCTCTAAAGCTAGCTGTATTCAGCATGATTCCCTTAAAAGAAAACAACCAGAGGTGTCAAGTGACCCGCTGTGGAAATACAACGAATCCAAGGTGAGGGATTTAGTATGTTCTCCTAATACAGGGCACAAACTAATTTTGAAAACATCGTCATGGTCATCGGGAGCATTTAACGCGTAAATTTGTACTGACTCTTTCTAATTACAGTTTGTTTAAATACAGATTTGATAAGCCAAATTCGACGTATACTACTACTTAAAGTCTTCAAAAGTAAATCTGGCTTTTAGTCGTTGTAGTCTGTCCGAAATGTGTTTCCTAATTACAGTCATTTGCAAAAGGTTAAGATCACCTGAAATTTTATTGGTTTTTCTGTCACGGGGCCGGCTTTCAAAGGCCCCATAAACACGACAAATTCCCACAGCTTCTTCGTCAGCGGGATAGACAAAACCTGATCTGTGTGTGCGAAATTAGACGTACAATGTGTTGCTTTTAGTGCGTGGATGCCACAAATCATCGTAACTGGATGAGATCGTATATCGGGTAATAGATGTCTGATGGTACTCATAACTCTGACCATGGTGCTTAATGAACAGCCCCCACATGCAAAAAAGGTTATAGTGAGATAGTGTTCATCACCATATGAAAACCTTGCTGTTGTACTTATAGTTAGTACATATAAACCAAACTAGCACATGTGCTCGTAGTTATACCTTCTAGCGGTCCGTTCCACTGTGAACGGGTCACTCAAGCATGTTCACCGCATTGGTCCTGCTATAAGTACCCCTGGTGCTTCTTGTCTACGCTGAATAAATGACGCTGAGGCTTAACTTGGCTTTTTTTTTTTCTTCACTACACTGCAGTCGGAACAGTCGTCACGTCCAGCTTTTGTTCCGTCACCTTAGCGGACCGCTTCCGCCACGGCATTACGGTTATGGGTATTGATACTTTCTCTGTTTGATCAAAGCACGCGGTCTTGCCTTACGTAGATTACAGGCTGCCTATAGCGTTCACCTGTTGTGCACAGACACTTTTATGCACATTCATAGACACCATAGAACAGCTCAGGAGACAATGAAAGATGGAAGAACAATATTGTTACATGTCCAACCGCGTGACCATAGTACTGGACTTACACTTACAGTGAACGCATAACATAATTCAGGCGAATTAGGCTGAACACTTGTAAAAGTTTGTCAGTAACATTCTGGCATTCGGACAACGTGTCCTGTCATTGTAGTTGAGCCTTGATGGTCAGCCTTTCGATGCTTGGCAGGCCACACATTGCCACTCTGTCCCGCTACTTGATGTTGCAAATATGAGAAGCCATATCTGGTAAAATCGCTCCAGCTGTTGACTGGGGACGATTGCTTGTCCACAAATTACAGCAGTAGAGTAGAGCTTTCAAGACTCTGTAAATAGCGATCAAGTATGAAATTTAATGCTGCGAGTTTGCGACAGTCTCTTCATCAGTTATACAAAGGCAATGCTTGTGTCAGAAATGCACACTGAGACCTCTTTATCAATTGATCCGTTGATAGTCACAGTATTGACTCGGTAACTAAACTCCTCAGCAGTTCCAATCTCTGTGGTAGTTATAGTCACTGGCCCATAGAGTGGAGAGTACCTGTCTGGGAGTGTTAGAAGGGCGGCTGAAATATATGGCTTCTGTCTTGCCCAGGCTGACGGTAAGGCCAAGGTGTCTGCAAGATTTTGTGTAGCAGTTCATTATGTACTGGATGTCCCCCGGGGAAATAGATGCTAAGGACAATCGTCCGCAAAGAGGAATTCCTCTTGGAGGAATTAACTCCCTCAGCAGAGCCTTCAATACTTTCCTTCTCCTGGATCCTCCACAAATTGAAGAGTTTTAATTACCACTAGAGCGAAAATGGATAGAGACTCCTCTATCATAGTCCCTGAAGGCATCCGAAAGCGTTGCCGCAAACATGAGGGAAAAGAGGGTAGATGCCAACACGCATCACCGCTTGACTTCACTCTGCACAGAAAATGGTCGATATATATCCCGTTTTGCTAGATCTTGGCTTGCATTCCATCATGGAAAGAGACAGGTGGCAAGGCCATCCTCTCTGGGCTGCCGAACATGCCAAGGTTTCTCCATAAGACCTCTTGATAAACAGTGTCAAAGGACAAGGTGAGATCAACAAACAGCATTATGAATGACAGGTAAATGCTCTTGGCACTATTTGTGTTGCGGACAGATACCCAAGACTAAGTGGTAAGTACCTCTGCATGAGCAGAGACCACATTGAGATTCAGGAGCGAGCTGCAGTCTCAGCTACGTGAGTAATGAGCCGGTTGAGGATAACTCTCGCCAGGAGCTTACCTGCGTTGCATATCAATGATATCCCACGGTGGTTTTTGGACGACATCGTCTCCCCTTCCTCTGCAAATGTGTACGATAAATGCACTTAAAGTTCCAAGGCACGCCTCCACCCTACAGTATTGTACCGTGCCTCATTTTTTGAAACGTTTGAAGGCTGTCCATCAGGTCAAGGAAGATCAGCGAATGAGCAATGAACCGGCAGCTGGGGATAAACGATCCCTTATTCGGAAACACAAGACTGTCTGTTAAAAAGCATGTTGAGTACCATGACAACAAAAGCTGGAAACCTCGGCAAACTAAAGGTAGCTTTCCATATGCTCGTTTTGAGTGCGTTGTGCCTACAATGCGTTCACGCTCTTCACTTTCACAAATGCAAAATTTGACAACAACATGACGCACGTGTGCGTTGCGTTCGGCCTCAAAATCGCTCCGGGGAGATTTTCACGGATATGCAACACCACGCAAACAAAGCTGCAGTCAAATCAAGTCCACTCTTAACAGGAAATTCATATTCTAAAATGAGTAAGAAATATTTGACACATTTTATTAAAGTCTGTTTAATTAAATAACAATTAAAACACCGGGAAAACCTAACTACATACTCGGGTACATGTTTAATTAATCTTATGTAACACTTTTATTGTGGGAACACTTTCTTTCAAGAATTAAACATGCTTGCTGGATGCATGGTGTCTGGTGTTTTGCAACAAGTAAATTATCAAATAAATATCTATAAAGGTCATTTAGCAATATAATTATGATAAGACACCTGTACATTTCAGCCTTTTTATTCGCTTTTAATAATTTCAGTCAGAGAATGTCTTTTGTATGAGTGGTACTCAAGGTATTTTCTCTTGTACAGTCTGCGAAAAGTGTGCAACAAATTTAACACAAATTGTCTTATTAAATCAGATTTTCATTTTCAGTCGGGTTTAATGGTGGGCAAAATAAAAAAAACGATGTATACCGTATTATCAAAAACATAAAACATTATAAATATTGTTGCAATGCCTTTAAAAACAAACACAATGCACAAGGAACGAGTAAAATAAGGCAGCCTGGCATGTAAAATCTCAGAAGTATCCTAGGTATGGTTCGAAAAAATATGTTCCACATGCCGCTTTAATACCATTGTCAGATTTTTTTTACATTTGTTCATGGCGGTGGCAGAATATATTTTCCATGTTATTTCTTTTAGAATAATTTTAGCTGATTAGTCCAAATCACATCAATGTTGTCTTCAATTATGCAACTACCACTCATAACAGAATATAGCAATAATATACAATAGTTTTATGAATATTCGCTTAACGTAAACGGAAGTCAAGACTTATGGATTCA